CATTTTTGTTCCTCTCTCTCTTTACTTATTCACTATTATTGTCACCATTATCTCAGTCTCTTTCTTGTCCCTTTTCTCTCAGTTCCTCTTCTTTTTTCATCAAATTCTTTAATTTTTTAATCGTGTTACTCTTAATAATACAGTTATATACAAACATTAAGATAGTGAATTAACAGTAGTCCATGATGAGCACTACCATTCATCATGGAGTCTACTGTAATTAATTAGATGCTGTTCACAATTCACATAGTGTTGTCTACTTGTCATTGTAGCAGAGAGATGAAGAGTGATAATTAAAAATGGCTCATTTTATGCTATAATGTCTAGGGCATTATTCAGACATGAATATTCTGTTGTGACCAGATATGCATGCTGTGGAGTGCATTACTTGTGGTAACAAACATATAGCAGACCATTCCCTAGCATACATGTACAGGAGTGTACATATCATACACTTATCACTGTTGGAGAATTGATGTGGCTTGCAAGACTATGTAACACTATGTTTGGTAATAGATACATCCCAAATACACCTCCAAAAACAAGTGATTAAGTTATGGCCTCTCCCCTTTTACTGTGTAACAGAAATACACCCCACTGACTGCTACACGCTGTTTCCTTGTGAACATTATGTCACATTAGTCTGAACATATAATTTAAAGCTACAAAATAGACAACTATTAGTATTATGGGAATAGTATCGACATGATTTCCTTAAAACTATATTTAGCGGTTTATAGTCTATAGTATGCAGCAAAGGAGCCTCATCATTGATAACAATAATACTATTTTTATTAGCATTAGGTTACATATTGTATGTCATCAATCACATGAATGTTATTATAACAGGCCTGGACTTCCTCTAGCTTGTGGTTAGCCATTCAAGTGAACATTGTTGTCTTTTTACAGGAAAGGTTTTCTCTTCATTAAGTCTTCTTTCTTTATTGAAATAGCTACACCTTAAGTTACCTAATTCTCTCATTGTCCTCCATACTATAGTACAAGATGATTGATGTCTCTCAATGGAGAGCAAGTATTGGACTGTGGAACTACTGTCAACCTGCCTCCAGTAGACCAGCTAATGGCCGCCACTCTCACTCATTCAAAGCTGCAGTAGACAGCAAGTCAGGCAGTACTACATCAGGAGAGAAGATATCTAAACTACCAGCAGCTCTGTCTCCTATTGTTTCTCTTCTTTTATCTATATTAAGATATATGAAGTTCAATTTTATTCCACCAACTGGTAAACAAACTAACAGTATATAATATTATTATACAGTGTATTTACAATAGGTATAATTACTGTTACTGTTATGATCCGCTGCCTCCAGTCATTAGTCTTGTTTATAGCTACTATTGGCAGTAGCTCTGACCTGATCTACTGTTTGGTTTTATTTCTCCTCCTCCTCTTATCAGGAGATGTTGAACTCAATCCTGGTCCTATGATTGATGATCAACCATCTTGTCCTTTGTTTGCAAAATACCTTGAACCACTTGTTGATTGGGAATCATTTGCTCTTTGTCTTCCTGGAGGGATTGGGATAACACAACTTGATGTTGATATAATTAAAAGAAAAGGAAGCTCTTACCTCAGGATGGAGGCATTACATAAGAGATGGTTACAAGTTAATCCTACAGCATCATGGAGAGATGTCATTAATGTTTTGAAACAATGTGAAGAGAATGAACTAGCTAGAACTATTGAAGACAAAATGACATATCCCACAGCTGGAAGAAGTACTAATGATGATATGGAAGTCAGTACCAGTAATGCTAATCCTGGTCCTATAACAGGTAAACATACACTTAATACAACACTCATTACCTGATACACTACTGCAGGTAACCCAAAGGATATATTAAGGACCCATTCTGTTAAACTCACTGATGCTGTTTCTGGTAATTTATTGAGAGTAACAAATGAGCTTCATGCTGCAAGATTAATACCAAAACTATTAAGACAAGAGATGCTAGTAATTGGAATAGACAATTACACTAAATCAACTAAACTTGTGAATGTCATTGAGCAACAGTTGAAATCCTCTCTTAATCCAGAGCAGTATCTTATTGATATATGTCATGTATTAATAAACCAACAACATCGTACACTAACAGATATTGCTACCTCTATATTACACCAGTTAGGTGAGTGTGTGTGTGTGTACATTATCAGTGATCAATATAGTCATTATATCTCAATACATTAGGTCAGTCTATACCTGATAATGTCACATCCATTAGTTCAATACCTGATGATGTTCAAGGATATGCTGACAATATGAGACAGCACTACAAACACCAACGTATTGTCGCTACAGACTGGCCACCAAGAATTGGAAAAGAATACTTTGGAAGACTAGCACTAGTAGAAAAAAAAGACTGCAGCACACAAGCAAAATCAGCTTGGCATATGCTAAGAGGACAAGTTGATAAAACAGCTAAACTAACTGAAAACAAAGAGATAAGTGTTGAAGATATCCTCCAACCCACAGATAATTCTCTGTCCCTCAGAGTAGTAATAGACGGTCCTCCTGGTATTGGCAAGACAACACTCTGTCGTAAACTGTTAAATATGTGGTCTAATGGACCACTTGTACACCAACAGTATCACTTGGTACTTTACTGTCCTTTAAGAGATAGCAAAATAGCTACAGCTACTACACTAGCTGACCTGTTTGTGTGTCAACTTAATAGATTTAAAAATGTACCTGAATGGTTTGAGGAGAGGGACGGAGAAGGGTTACTGATAATCTTTGATGGTTGGGATGAACTAAGTGAACAACTCAGACAGTCTTCATTAGCTGCTAGTATTATTCATAGAAAGCAGTTAGACCAATGTTCAGTAATTGTTACCTCTCGTAGCTATGCCTCCTCTTCACTTTTGAAAATGGATACTCTCAGTAGACATGTTCAGGTCATTGGATTTTCTGAGGAAGAAATATCAACAGTAATTATACAAACACTTCAAAAAGATACAAAACTAGCACAAGAAATTATTCAATACTTGCGCAGTAAAAGCATTCCCAATAGTGAAAGTGATAATGAAAGTGATGAAATAAGTGATGATGAACTAGTTGAAAGTGATGATGAAGTTGAAAGTGATGATGAACTAGTTGAAAGTGATGGTGAAGCTGAAAGTGATGATGAAGCTAAAAGTGATGATGAACTAGTTGAAAGTGATGGTGAACTAGTTGAAAGTGATGGTGAACTAGTTGAAAGTGGTGATGAACTTGAATTACCTACAGATAAGGATTCACAACTAGCAGTGAAACTCATTAATGATCTTGAAGTACGAAATGATGTCCAATCATTGTGTTATGTACCACTAGTTTGTTCTATGGTCATCTTAGTTTATTGTAAGGAAGGAGGACACTTACCAACAACACTCACTCAACTGTATGAAAATTTTATCCTACAAACTATCAGAAGACATGTTAAAAGACATGACATTGACCCACATACTTTAGGTAGTCTTTCTTCATTACCATCACAATTAGCTAAACCTTTACAAGAGATGTGTCAATTAGCTTATACTAACCTGGCTAATACAAGAATGACATTCTCTTCACATCAACTACAGTCACTGAGTGAGGCAGTCAAGGAAGACTATCTTGGATTGATGACAACATTCACAGAATATGATGAGGAAATGTATCAGTTCCTTCACTTGAGTATACAAGAATTTCTAGCTGCATGGTGGATAGCTAAGCATGAGAAGAAGACAGAGGAAGTGTTTAAGGATCACTTTGATGATGATAACTTTCAAATGTGTCTGAGGTTTGTGGCAGGTCTAACTCACCTTGAACATGAGAGCTATCAACAGTATTTTAATAAACAACAACTTGACTTACAGTGTAAGAGGAAAGCTTTGTTAGGATTTGAGACTTGTCATCTCTCCTACTTCTATCAAAATCCTGAGAGTAGAATAAAGCATGATCCAGGGAATAATGATCATGTCAGTCTCAGACCTGATATTTTTGACCATGTTCCCATTCTTCTTCAACTTTTGTATGAATCACAGAACACAACATTATGTCAAGTATTAGCACAATCCATTAATCACTCACTGTGTCTGTATGGAGTATCATTATCATTGTTTGACTGGTTGTGTCTCAGTTATTGTATAAACAATTCCAACACAACATGGAATCACTTGCACCTGGGGACTGTATCTAACCAGTCACTATCAGTCTTCACTGCTGGACTAACCAATAACTCACTACAGACCCAGTGTAAGAGACTGGAAGTAGAGTTGTTTGGACCCACTGATGAATTAATACACAAATTATTACAACCATCACTTGTATACAATATTCAGGAGTGCTACTGTGAATTCACATTTGGTCAATATGCTCCCTGTCTTGTTTTGTTACAGTTCCTCAATCTTCCTCAATTGAAGATACTGCACTTAAGTATCGGGAATTATACTATACCAACAGTTGACAATACATACTACACAGACAAGTGCACTGAACTTGAGAAATGTATAGAAATAAATTCAACACTACAAGAAATGAAGATTAAGTGTAATGAATGGAAGGATGAAATAACAAGTAGTAGATCTATCATTACCATTGTCATTAGAGGAATAGCAAGAAATAAAACAATAACATCATTAACAATAGATCTAGATCGTCAGGCTGCTTATTTCTATCCTCCTCCTCCTCTACCTGATGGAGTAATAGAGCAGTTACTAAAGGACAACAACACATTACAAGCTCTTTTACTGAAGATACCTGATGAACTATCATCATCACTGAATATAGTAGAGGTGAACACACCACTAACTGCTCTAGAGATAGGAGGAGAATGGAATATTAGTAAACTGATGACATCATCACTCCTTCCACATATCAAAGGATTACACTGTCTGATACTACATGAACCATACCCACCACATCTTCTATTTCTCTCTCATCCCAGTCTACATACACTTACTTTACCACTAGACACAGCTGAGAGTGCTATTGAACTATTTACTATCCTACAAACCAATACCGCTACACTTAAAGCTCTGAGTGTGAAGATAAAGGATGAGAGAGTATATACCAGCAGTATGGGTACTAGTCTACAAGACATGCTAGCACAAAACCAAACACTGAAATACTTTAGTATTGATAAATTTAGTCATGACATTTTATTTAATAACATTGCTACTCCCAGTTCATTCCTGTCCTTCCTAACAACTGGTCTCAGATACAACACCAGTCTACAGCAGTTGAGTATATCCATTCCACTGAATGAAGAGATAAGAACTTTTATTAATGTCATCTCTCAAAAGAACAATCTCACAGAACTTGAAGTGAACTTCGAACCAGATCAGTCATACAGCAACTGTAGTGAGGAAGAGAAGGAACAAATAATGACACTATTGTTTTATGAACAGGTACTACCTGTTGTTACTAACATGTTACAGTCACATACAACCATCAGACTACTGAGGATAGAGTGTAGAGATATTAATGAAGAGTCATCTCAACCTAACTGGATAGAACTAGTACAACATTTATATGAAACCATCTCCATCCATCCATCACTTAAATATATTGGAATTTATACAGGGTACCTTTCTCCTTGTCTCCTGATAGATATTTTTAATGACCAAAAGAAGACATTGATTGATAGACACAGAAAAATACAGCCTTTGACACAACTTTTAATAGTTATTAATTCTACTGCTATTTTCTTGGACAATTTCTCAGCTATAGAGTTTGAGGAAAGTCTCAAAAATGCTCTCAAGGAAGATTTTCTTAATTATAACGTAAGTACAGCTATTGTTCAGGGAGAAGCTCGAGTTGGTAAAACCTGTCTTAAATCATTGATTTTATCTTTACCATATGATAGTGTAAGCACCCCAGTTATTGAAGCACCGCTTGTTGCATTTGGAAATTTCTCTATTGATTGCTATGGTAGTACTAAAGGTAAGTGGACATCAGTTAACAATGATGAAATGGATGATAAAGTTGTTGCTGAATTACAAAAGCATGCATTGGATAGAGGAAATAAAATTGATACTAAAGCAAGTAGATCTATATCTCAGGAATTGTCTAAAAATGAAGAACATGTTTTGCCATTTCATGCAACTGTAGATGATTCAGTTGAAACTACACAGCAAAGTATGGAAACAATTGAAATTAATAATTATGAAGAAAGTGGATTAGGAACCAAATAATGTAATACTTGATGGTAATGTAGTACACATTTGACTAATTCTCTCTCCAATACA